TCTATCTCTATCCGGATATTTTAAAATTTATTTTACGCGACACTGCTTACAAGACGGGGTCTGAACGAAATTGTCGGGGGGGGGTGAAAGTTTATACGCGCATGCACCGCTAACGGACCTGCTTTCTCCCTCGGCTACGGCTTTAATACCTCTATAATTCAATTCGCATTTAATAAAAAAAAATCCAAGGGGGATGGTGCGCGGTCATTGTGTCCCCGCCGTCTCGGTGGATAGAGTCAATCCGTGTTAACCGTATTTAAAAATTATACATCAGAATTGATTATTTCTCTACATTGATTATTTTTGATAATTTGATCACTCCTAGAAAAGGTTAACATAAATATTAAAATATGAAAATTTCAAATCTATCGGATTATTTTTAGTTGAATAACAGAAAAAAATAACACGGTGATTGAACAATTATCGAGTTTTTCCCTCTATTATTTATTAAAAAATTACCTTCTTAAAACTAGACAATATTTTCTACGAAAATTCATCTCTAATGTTAATGATTGGAACGCGAATTCTGAAATTGTGTTTAAATATCAAGTATTTCTGTTTGGCTAAACAATTTTGTCTACATGAAACCGAATAAAATTAAAAAATGTAAAAATTCGACAATTATATTTACATGTGCACATTTTAACCGAGTCACTAACTTTCATGAGTCTGTAAGATTATTTAAAACCCGATATTTCCGAACGCGGAATCTGAACGTAAAAATACTTAGACGAGGGCTATGAAAGTTTAAACTACCAACAAAAAACCTGTAATATTTACGAACTAAAAATAATACGTTTCGTACGTTTTCCCGGTTTTCCTACGTTCTTTCCCGGTTTTTTTCATTTATCGCGAAAACTGTTGAGAAAATGACCGCACATGAATGTACCGCCCCGGTCGAATTCTCTTTCGGAGAAAAAGCGCCGCGCTGGAAAATCGGAGCGAAATCGCCGGTAGAAAAGTCGTTGGCGGACAGCGGGAAAAAATAAAAAAAAAAAAAAAACTACAAAAACGCGCGTCATAGTGAAACCGCCGTAGATACGCTCCGGAACACGTGGAACACGATCGTAACGCCGTCGTAAAACCGATACGTTCCTCGGTCCGTTCGGAAACTGGAAAAAAAAAAAAAATAATAACAATAATAAATAACGAGTAAAAAAATTCCCCGGCGCGAAACGTCAACGACGTCAACGATCGCGGCCGTCCGGCCGGTTCACTGTACGCCGCGGCGGCACCGGTCGGCTATGACACAATAACGCGAGACCGTACGCGCGGTTTCCCCGTCGACGACCGTGCACGCGCCGCGCTCCGTTGTTTTACCGTATTGTGCGGGTCGCACGCGTGACGCGTACGGACGACGGGCGACCGGCCCGTCGCGGAGACACTCGTCATCGCGGAGAGTGTTGACTTCTCCCCGGATCGGCGGTCCAGTGTGTTTATGAAACAAGCCGATCCGCAACCGTATGCCCGCGTACTTTTTTTCCCCGTCGCCGTTATTTTCGGTTTTCAAACGGCCACCCACGTTGAAAATGCCATACGTAGACGGAGCGTTAGCCAACCTACGTTTTAGCGTTGAAACGTTACTGATTTCCATCAGTCCGCCGACTTTCGGCTCCGTCCGCTTTTTAGTCTGGGTCGGACGAGAGCGTCGGCGGTGCGGCGTGTTCATAACGCGCCGCCGTTCTCGCCCGGCCCGAACGTAAAAAGCGGAACGCGTCGTTCCGCTTTTACGGGTATGACCGGTCGGCGGCGGTCGACGATTTCAGCGCCGAAATTTATTTCAACTCGTGCACTTCGTCCAGTTTACGGAACCGTTAGACGCGGGTTCCGTTTCGAAAATCGAAATTGAAGGGTCGTTTTTTATCACGCGGACCCGCGAAGCGAGAGCCGCGCGTGCGTAACGCGCACCTCTACCCGCGTAACGCTGTAAATCGGTACGGGCGACGCGGACGTTATTATTATTATTGTCCGAAACGCTTTGAAACGCTCGCGCCCCGGCGACGCCGACCGTAAAGTAATTCGCGCGGGCGCGCGTAATGACATTACGTGGGTGCGCGCCCTACGCGGGCACCCGCCGGCAATATTAAACACCGCGTCGGTTTCGCGCCGAGCCCCGGGGGCCGCGCGCGCCGTGATTGCGTCGGACCCGCGGTCCACGGTCCCCCGGTCGCGCGACGCAAATAATAACGGTAATAACGATAACGGATAATAACATTATTATTATATTTAAATACGTTCGCGTCGTCGCAGGCGCGCCTTTGAATTGTGGCGGGCCGCCTCGGCGATGAATGGGGTTTAGATTGCGTTCGTCAAAGGCGTGGGCGTGCACACGCCGATAGTCTTCGCGTAATAGGCAAAAGCCGTTAGTTTTATTATGGACAGTGACCGCGACGTCGATATTCTTCCCGCCTCCGTACACCACCGATAAGGAAGAAAACAGAAAAAAAAACGCGGAACGTCGGGTCTCGAATATCGGCGGGGTACCGATTAGCCGTTGCTTCGGGCGAGACATTATCGAAAATACCCGTCGTGTCTGTGTCCGAAGGGGCCTCGGGACCCCAGGAGGTTTATTAAACATCGCCATCGGGTCGCTGAACGGTTTTCGCGCTTAAAACAGTTTACACCGGTGCGAAATATAGTATTTTTTTTAAACTTTAGTCGACTATTGCAGACTGCAGTAAAAAAAAATATACATAACCATTTATTATCGATAACTGTGTGTCCGAGTAAATGTATAGAAAACGTACTGACAACTGAAACGTCGCTGGAAATCGCTCGTGAATATATAACGTAATATCGCCATGTGTGTACAATAACAATTATTTCACCTCGAAATCTATAGTTATTTTTTAGAACCATGGCCTTTGAATTTCGCAAATATGAACCCCCCCCCCAAAAAAAAATTAATGCCTCAGGAGCCTTTAGTGTGTCAGACTGACACTGGAAACCACGTCGTTGGGGAAACCTTTTCTCTTACCCTACGAAATTTCGAATTTCGATAAACACGTGATGTTTTTATTGGCACTGTCTGGAAAACTACGTTCTGTAAAACCACTTGCGATAATGATATTTTCTAGCCATTTCGTCATCGGTTCGTTCTGCTTTCTGGGTTCCTAACGAACTGGCTAATTCCAGTTCCGGAAAATGACGGGGCCCCAGTATGACATACAACCCGGAACCTGCTATATATTGTGAAGGGGTTGCGTATTATAGGCAATATGTATCTACTCGGAAATTCACTTTCAAATAAATTCAACAAATTTGGCACCGTGTATTGCACGTGTGTTTTGAAAAGAAAAACAAATTACATTTGAACGTTTTTAATTGCTAAATACGTAAATCATAACAAATTTGTCATTTATTCTCATGTTGTAAATTTAAAACAATTGTTACCAAGACCGCGGCTCAACAATGGAAAATAATAACATTGTCGTCAAACTGAAATGGTCCCATATTATTCGGTGCTTACCATTTCTCGACACTGAACGGCATTTTTTCTTTTCAACAACTTGAACGTAAACGCATTTTTTGAAAAATAATAATAATAATAATACGATGTTCTCGTACGTAAAGGCGTTTATTTCGTGGGACAATCGCCGTGAACTTGAAACTCGAACGTTTCAAAAAAGTACCGATTTCTATTTTATATATCGTGTAATCGTGAAATAAACTAAAATGTTCACGGAAAAAAAAAACATTTTCAACTTTTTTACTCTTTCGGTCTGTTCTAAAGTTACCAATGTTTTTCGGAACAAACACACAAGAAGAATTTTATAAAGTATAAACCTTCGCTAAAAAACCAAAAGTGTTGTTGTCATTATTATATAATATTGAAATAAATTACTATAAATTTTCATCCGTCGTGCAGACTGAAACGGTACGAGCCGCAACGCACGAATAGGTATAGAAAATGAGTACTATTTACCCATTTAGAAAACTGATGGGAGTCGAGAATTTAGGATACATTAATTAATTTAATTTATAACTGTATGATTTTTTCACCGTCAGTCATAACGAATCAAGCTTGAAATTTTCAAATATTTTGACTTGGCACAACATAATACGCGAAATAGTGCTCAGCCTAACACAATATTTAATTCATGTAAAACCAAAAAAAAAAAAAAAACTTAACAAATTTGAAAATGTCGAACGTCTATAAACAATTAAATCGCCAAAATCCACTTATAGTGTGCAAATATCAGTTATTTGAATTTATTTTTAACCGAATTACAAAAAAATAAAAAATAATTGAGCCGCTATCGGCTGTCGACTTTCCCGTTTTTTTTTTTCCAATTAGTTAAATTATTGTGACTGTATCCGAATCAAAAAGCAATCAGTTAATTTCTCATTGGCGTTTCGAACAATCATTAATTAGTATATTATCTTAGTTGGCGTCAACATTGTATTTCGTTGCTAAGGAAGAAAAATGTCCAACAAACAGCAAATTTAAATATTAAAATTTAATTGTATACATTGTCATAATATTATAATATAAAATTATTATAATAATATTGATAGTAGATTTGAAAAAAAAAAAAACAAAAGAAAAGGTCAATTAATCAATGCAAGCATGTTTTACGAGTCATTTTTTTATGATATAGCTATAAAGACAGTGTGCTACGGTGTGTGCTACGACCAAGGTATCAATAACCTCAAATATTTTTCATCGCGTTACTTTTTATTTCATGTGAACTAATATGGTCGTAAACTCGTAATATTGTTAGTTTTCATGTTCTATATTCAAGTAGCCATATTGAGGCCTTTTATGTATTTTAAACGTACATTTAAACTCGTATTTTTGGTCCTTCCAGCGAGTTTTTTCTTAACAAAAAAAAATGTATATTTAATATTTACACAAACAACACCGAGCACAAATCTGCACAACTATCAGACTATGATTTTCTTCTTAATTCACATAAATTTAAAAAACTATCAATCCAGGTAAAACGGAACGAAATGCATTAATTTTCATGGTTGTTCATATTATTTTGGTCTCAGTAATGGCTTATTTCTGTGTACCATGGTTGATCAGAAAACTCAATCCAAACAAACAACAAAAACAGCGATTTGAGGAAATAGTAAGTCAACTATATTTTTTAGACAGGTAACTGAATTTCTGATTAATTTTTGTTCTTTTAATTTTAAAATAGGGTCGCGAAAAATTAAAAAGTCTTGGCGCGAAAAATGTAAAAAATGTAAGTAAAATATGGGTATCTAATAACATTGTGTATAATAAGTAAGTACCTAGATCTGTACAGTACAACAACATTAATGTTTAATTACAAAATGCAGCTTACCGATCATGAACTAATGATTGCTAGCCAGTTGGTTATTCTTTGTGATATAACAGTGTCGTGGAAAAGTATTGCCGGGCTTAGCGCGGTTATAGACGGAATCAAACAAACGGTTATATTTCCAGTTCAGAGAAAAGAACTGCTCAGAAACTCGACTTTAACCAATCCGCCTAGAGGTATATTATTTAAAATTGAATGAGTGTTCAGCATTCGCATGTCTTGGGTACCTACTTAAATGATTAATTGTGCTTTAACAAAAGGAGTTTTACTTTATGGACCACCCGGATGCGGTAAAACAATGATTGCCAAAGCTACTGCCCGTGAGGCGGGTATGAATTTTTTATACTTGGATGTGTCATTGCTCACTGATAAATTGTATGGTGAGAGTGCAAAATTAGCCGGCGCTGTATTCAGTTTAGCGCAAAAGCTTCAACCCACTATAATTTTTATTGACGAAATTGGTAAGAACAATTAAAAATATGTATTTATGAATAAATTGTGTAAACATGTAAGTGTACCCACAAAATATATTTGTATTATGAAATACTTTTTTCACGTATTAATGGCTTCATCTTCGGTTCCTTTATTTTTTACTAATATAAAATAATTACAATGATAAACTATCGATAAATGATGACTTTAAGAAAAACGACTTTGTTGTGGCAGATTTAAAAAGAAGAAAACGTCTTTATTATTATAGTTTATACGATTTTTTTAAATACAGTATAAATTACGACACCAAGTAAATCACCAATTTGTATATATGTCGTTTCAATATTATACGAATAACCTAGACTTTTTTTAGGCTATCGTAAATTATTAATAATTAATGAATGAACATTATTTCATATTCATATGATTGAAATATTTTTTTTATTTTTCAAATTTTATTAAATTATTCAATAAAACATTATCTAATATACATAACAATACAATAGATTTACAATTATTTAAAAAGACATACTCAGGAAGTTAACAAGTTTTCAATACTTGTTAAGTAAATACAGTTAAATTAAGTTAAAACTCGTATATTTTTATGAACTTTATCAAAATAAAAATGAATTCAAAAAAATAAATAAATTTAGATAATATTAACTTAGTTATAAATTAAAGTTCACTTTTTGTTGGCAACCAAAATACATTACGGCAGGCTACTACATGGCGGGCTAATGGCAGGAAAGTAAAAGAAAAAACATAAAAATTGTATTACAGCTTGTTACACTTTATAGAATTTTATGAAAATTTGATTTTCACTGAAATATTATTTAACTTTAAACACACAAAGTTATCATGAAGTTACTAAATAAGAACATGTTAACTAAATATGCATGTATCTTAAAAACATTGTTTAAAATTGTTTAATTGTTGGAAATTTAATGTTTCTATTTATTTAAAATAAGAACAACAGGAAATCCATATTAATATAGTATTAATTATTTAATGATCAATTAAGGATAAATTGCATATTTCAGATTGTTTTTTAAGATCTAGAAACAAATATGACAATGAAGCATCAGCCATGATGAAAGCTCAATTTATGATGCTTTGGGATGGCTTAACAACTGATCCAAAAAATATTGTTATTATAATGGGTGCTACAAATAGACCTAGTGATTTAGATCCAGCTATATTAAGGCGTATGCCAGCTACTTTCAAAATATCCTTGCCGGTAAATATGTATTCATCACAATAATATTAATGAAGTTTTATTGTACGTTTGTTGACTATTTTACATAAGTTTTTTAAATATGAATTATTGAAACCAAATGAATGATAAGTAAATAAATATTTTTTTTCCAAATTAAGAGTGCTTATAAAATGAAATATAATATAAATCTAAAATATCTAAAATTGATTTAATATTGCAATAATTATTATGACACAAGGAATATATCGAGTAGATATATGATATCCTTAATTGTATTTCGATATGATCAACTGGCGGGAAATTATAATTTTTTATTTTGATTTGTGTTTAACGTTTTGGTTACTTATAGAATTAATTTTACATCTATTATTAGAATAAACATATTCACACAAAATATTTCAAGTCCTTTTCGACCTATTGTAACGTGTAATTTCATTTCCAACTGATCCAAAAAAATCCTCAGGGACATGATAAGGTAAATTTTTTTAAGTATCGAGTTGTATGTAATAATATACAATAGTGCGAAAACACCAAGGAGGGAGGGCGATCCTACAATCCCTCCCCCAATATCGGTAATTGTTTTGACCCCATCTATCTCGCAGTTTAGTAATGTAATAGGACTAAATTGTTTAGGAATGACTAATAAAAGGCAGTATTCTAAATGTTCTACCTATAATTGGAATAGTTTGTATACGACTATACCAGTATCTAAAACTCATAATTTTCAGACTCACTAACTAACCGCTGACTCACTGATAGATTATCATAAATCTAGAACTCTTCAAATTGACCTAGAGATCTTTCTTATTATAAAAAAATAATAATGTAAATATTTTGTCGGTATGTAGTAATGTCGTAGAACCATATTTACTTGTATACTTTTTTAGGAGCAACAACAAAGGAAAGAAATTCTGACGTTAATTTTAAATACCGAAAAATATGCTAAAGATGTTGATTTCGACAAATTAGCTGCACTCACTAATCATTTTTCTGGCTCTGATCTTAAAGAATTGTGCCGTGATGCGTCATTATCTCGATTTAGAGATTTAATCAAAGAAGAAGAACTTCAAAAGAAGTAATTTAAAATACCATAACCAATTGTTTTATACCTGCTCATACTAAAGATTTTTTAAAAAGAAATTTTTTAACAGGTATTCAGAGTCCCATTTATCTGATTCTGTAAATTTAAATAGATTGAGACCTATTAATATGAATGATTTGATTGCGTCTGTTGAGAAGACAAAAGCATCGAAGAAGTTCACTGACACTTATATTAGATTGGGTGTTTGTGCGCCTTGTGCCGATAGTAACAATAAAATTAGCTCATGATGGTTTCTTATGGCACAATTATGTCGTAACTGAGTCACCGTATACCTTGCCATTTATTTCAGCTGTAAGTAGGTACTTAATTTTATTCTTCTTTGGGGAAATATATGTTGGCGTTGTTCGAGAAAAAATTCGCACATTTTCATGACAATCGAACTATCTCGATTGATTTTTATAATCGAATAACTTGATTATAATCGTTTATCTATTATACCCATTACCATTATAAAGCCTTTATACTCATGACCTAGTGTTTATAATCAATGGTAATAGGTACATATCCCGTTATGGCGTTTATACCGCGGCTATTATAGATTTAGGCGGTTGTTCGACGAATACAAATTAGTTTAAAAAAAAAAAAGAGGGTGATGGGGAAGTGTGGTAAGGAGAGAAGGAAAAGAAGGAAATGGGTATGGGGTTATAAGGGGGTAATAGGTATAGGTATATTTATATTCGTATGTACGACGCATGACGCGTCTATCTATCGACAGGATGATTGACGGCAGTGTTGCCACAACGCGCGATCGGTCGGATTAGGGGAGAGTGTTGACGAGATGTACGTTCATTACATTGACTCTTGATTCAAAGTCTTTTTTTTTGTTCGAATTGTAATTCTTATTCTTACCCATTAAACGGCTCATGTCATTACGTAGGTCTTTGCGCCCTACCGTCGTTCACTCGTTTTAATAACGATTGATTTTATATTCTCGACGTCGACAGTTTCTGCCGTTTTCATTTGTTCGACTCCTCCCTACACCATTTTTCCTTCGTTTTTCTTTCTACCAATTTTCGAGTCACGATATAAAAACTATATTATTTTCATTGCTATTTTCTACGCCTCCGTCTTACAGACGCATGATATACAAGTAGTAAGTTCACAATCAGTATGGAACTTATTTTGTGCTGTTAGTTTTAATGTTAAAACGAATCGGCCTATTATCGAACTTAAAGCGAAGAACATTGTCTGTATACGTTGGTTTTGTTTCAGCTTTTCATTTACCTTTAAAACGATATATAAGTTAGATATCTCTTGTCTACGTAGTTTATATTTGCGGTTGATATACGATTCTGAGTGAAATGAGGGATTATCGGTTTTACTATATGATGTGTATTTATTTTTTCTGTTTGTAAATAAATTTTCTACTAGAAATCTAGCTCCAGCCAAAACATAAGACCTTTTTTTTTATTGTATTTTGGCTCTAGTTGATAATTTAGAAAGGTAATTTTTTTTTTCAAAATTTTCTTTAGTATTTGAGATAATAAGGAAAAATTGGTTCTTTAGATTGAAAAAGATTAAAAATAGGATTTTCGTTGGTTTTTTTATTATTTTAATCTTTACAAATTTTTTAAACAACGTTGTGAAAACGCGCATTGTTGAAAAAGCAATAACTTAGACCGAGTTTCACTCAGAAACGTTTTTCGTTAGCAATGGTTTATTTTCGCTTACATTAAACAACTTCACGTATCCTACCCTCCCGGCTTTCCGCCTAAAACAGTGGCCATACTCGTTCCTAGTATCGGCTTTTTTTTTTTTTCTTATTCTAATTATTCATTTATTTTTAACTCTTTCGACGGTTGTGGACTGCAAATCCGTTGTACACGAATTTCGACACGTCATATCGTATCGTTTATCTGTTGTACAACGTGTACGTATTTACATCGTTATAACCATTACGCTATACTCGTCTGTCGGTATTGTGCGTACACTCGATGCATGATAATAATAATATATTTCAATGCGATTATTTTTTATTTGGAATTGTATATTTGTATCGAACGGATTATGAAAATATTAAACAAACAATTAAAATACCTATGTTATTTAGATAGCTACCCGGTAGGTGCGTCGTTTCGCAACTAATGCCGATACTACAATAGTGTATGACAACTTTCTATTCGGATCCGATCGCGAATCGATGAAGTTTGATTGACAGCGCGACGAAAAAAAAAAAAAAAGCGAAATACACATTAATCAAATTTCCCGTTGAAATAAGGTATGCAATATTATGTATAGGTATGAATGAGTGTGTACAGTTGTACATAATATTAAAATATATGTACCGGATACCTATATAGTAATAATTCATATTATATAAATGCTCCTGGAACTTTTTCGAAGAGTTTGCGGTACGGTTTACGAGTTCAAGCAAGTTCAATTCATATACATATGTAATGGAAAAAAATTAAAAAAAAAAAAAAAGTAACTCGATTGAAAAATATAAAGTACAATAATAATACATCGGTTGTACATTATTACAAACAAATACAAAAATCTTCAAAATTGCCAATTTTTATAATATAATTGCGTTCGTCTCGTACAATTTTTAATTTATTAAACAACGACGGTAACAAAAAAATAAAATACATTTTATTTGCGTAAGTGTTTTTAAACAACACGACTCTTTCATCAACGTGTGTCTCGCCTATAATCAATAATGTATCCACGAACACCCCTGGTTTCCACGATCGTCTCGTAGAACGATATAAAACGAAATAATATGAAATATTTTAGTATATCGAGAAAACGAAAACATTTTTGTCTAATCGTTTGTATATTATTATGATTTAAGATACGTGGACTAAAATCGTGCGCAGTGTCTATACTATATAAATATTTATTTTTTAACTTAACATTTATTTGTCACTTTTAATGATTACCATTGGAGAAAATAATATGTGTCTTACATATTATTTCAAAGATGAAGGCACAGATTAAAAGTCGATTTAAACGGAACGAATTAAACGTCGATTTTACTATTGACGTGATTTAAATTCGTAGGTAATATACATTATTCAATAAAGAATTAAAATTGATCACGTGTGTAATTAATAATTATCACATTCAGATAGTAGATCGTATGCATAATTTGTGTATTTATAAAATTGTTTTGAGTCGATTTATAAAAAAAAAAAAAAAAAAAAAAAAAAACAATATATTTATTCAGTCTCTTTGAAACTATCTAAAAAAAAAAAAACCGATTTTGAGGTACTATATCAATTTAAAATCCAATTTAGAAAAAAAAAAAAATTGAGCTATTTGTCCTTACGAGATAGAGGAAAATGTAAATTGAGATTAATTTGCGAACGGTGATTTTTTCGTTGGATCTGCTGATCAGAAATATTCCTCCCTCCTTGCCACCCCACTCCCGTCAAAACTAAATCGATTCCGTTGCCGGGAGAAGGGGTAACGATGATACTTATGATATAGTATTGCTGGAGTAGTGTGAAGTGCGTAGTACGAAAAAGAGGATATTTCAGCCTATGTCAAAGTATGTTATCCTACACAGCCGGTATAGTGTTGATGATAAACGCGATAAAAATTTCAATTGGATATCCGCGAACGGTTCGCCGTGACTGCAGCCATATCCGCGGCATGACGGCACGTCACGACGTTGCAACGTTATGTTTACGATGTTATTTATTTTATTTTTTTCCGGATAAAACCAAAAAAAAAAAACGCATTACTTATTAACGGCGACTTGTGCGTTTCGAATTTTCTCGAGCGTTTACTCGTTAAACGATTTAGGATTGCATCACGGTATAAGTGTTATGTGCCTGTACGTAGGCACTCGCACGTTCACGGTCGTAATAATATTTGCGGGAAAAGAACCCCTCGCGCACGGCGACGTCGAACGCGCGCGATAAAGGGGCGAAAAAAAAAAATCGGCATTGAAAGGAGAAAAACAAATATTGGTTATAATAAGAAACGAATCGTCCCTTTTCGCCCTTTATCCCGCGCCGGTGCCGGGACCCGGCTCTATGTCCGCACGCACGCACACACATTATTCTCGCGACCCGCGCATCGGCTCTCTCTATCAGTCTCTCTCTCCCTCTCTCCCTCACCCCCCCCCCACACGTACCCCACGGCCGTCGCCGCCGGATTTCTTTTCTTCTCCGTCTATAATGTGCGTACACGTACTAATAATGTAACGCGACGCAACGTGGTCGTATACCGCGCACGCAGACGTACGTAAACGGCCGAAACGGAACGGAAATGAATAAAAACGATACGAGAAATTAACAGCGAACGATCGCCCGGAAAAAACGCCGCCGTCGCGTCCGTCGCGCGATCACTGACCGACGTCGGTTTTTTTTTTTTTTTTTTCATATTCAAAACGGTCAAGTGTGAACGCACGCGATTAACACGGCAATACGCACGGCCGTGATAAAATATTCGGAGTAGGTCGGCGCGCGACGCCGCGTCACGCTGTCATCGCGGCGAACGGTCTCGCGCGCCCGCCCGCGCACAGCGGCTGACCCGCCTCGCGCTGTTGTTGCGCGACTGCGACTATCCTCTTGTTCCGCGCGGAAACGTCGCGGCGTTCCGTTATCTCCCCGAAGCCGGAAACTCGACTTACTTTACTGCCTGTCCGCCGTCCCGTTTTCACCGGCCGCGTGGGCAATAACGCCGCGCGGTATTGGACGCGGCACAACGGACGGACGCGCGGTCGGCACATTCGCGGCCGCGACCACCACATTTCCGGTGGCGCTCGCGGGGGTCACCGGGGTTTTTTTTTTTTTTTTTCGCGTTTCTCGTACATATTTCTGTATATTTTCGATTCGGGTGGGAGCGAGCGACGCGCNCGATACGAGAAATTAACAGCGAACGATCGCCCGGAAAAAACGCCGCCGTCGCGTCCGTCGCGCGATCACTGACCGACGTCGGTTTTTTTTTTTTTTTTTTCGCGTTTCTCGTACATATTTCTGTATATTTTCGATTCGGGTGGGAGCGAGCGACGCGCGTTGGTTTGAATACGATGCGCGGTACCCGAACTTTCCACCGGACTTTTTTTACAGGCCCAGCACCGACAATAAATATTAATTTACCAGCGCGTATAAAGTTATTTCATTAAAAAAAACATCCGACGGTTGGTTGCGTTGTTCCGTTATCGTATTAGTGATTCAACTTAATTTTATTAAGACGCGTCGGATATTATTATTATTTTTTTAGCACGATATTATTTTCCCGGGTACCGCTTCTGGAGATGACGCGTTCAGCGATT